TGACGAGCGGTTGGTTCTAAGCAGGAACTTTCGCCCCAGGAAAAAGTGACGAAAGTGCCGTACGAAATGAACGACAGCCAGCATCTCCTTACGAGTCGTTACAGTAGTTGCGCTCACTCTTGGTTAGCGTTCGACTACCGTAAGCGACAACTCTTTCGGTTTGAACTGTGGATATCTGTGACAAAACTGCTCCAATACCAAAATCACTGGCGTCTGTATCCGGCACGAATTGACCTGCCGCCGAACTAGTATCTCGAAGTGCAAGGATTGGGGCTGAACATAGGTATTCCTTAAGCCGAGTAAATGTTTTGCGCCATTATCATTCCAATGGAACTTCTGGCCCTTCTATAATAGCGGTCTTGGGGGCACTAATCCTTAAGAACTGAGGGACAAATCTTTGGTAGTACACTGCCAGCCCGAGAAGACTTCTCATCTCCGAGATTGTTGGNACCTTACTGAAGTCGCTACTTTCTCCTTGTGGCAAGATGATGTGTCCTAAGTATTTCAACTCCTGTTTGAGAAACACGCGTTTCCTAGAATTTAGTCTTACCTTCCGTAGGCGCCCGAAGACATCTATTAAATATCGTAGGTGGTCTTCTATCGAGCTGCCTGTGATAAAGATACTGTCTAAGTAATACACATTTCTCTGGTGACAGACCCGTTAAGACTATCTGCATCAGTCGCGGGTGCGTTTGTTAATCCGAATAGTACGGTATTAAACTCGTATTAACCAGTAGGGATCGCAAAAGCCGTCTTTTCCCAATCTTCAGGGTCCACCTAGACCTGCCAATACCTCGATGCAAGATCCAAAGTAGAAAAACATTTAAAACCTGACGGTGCGTTCAGCGTATCATTAATGCGAGGCAGTGGAAACGAGTCCTAACGTGTGACTGCATTCAACTTCCGATAGTCAACACATGCGTAACGACACGTCCTTCTTCTTAATCAGGACTGATGGCGAAGCTCAAGGGTATTAGACGGTTCAATAATGTCTTGCCGGAGCATCCCTTCCATTAGGTTCTTCAGCTCTACCTGCCGGTGAATGGGTACGCGTCGTGGTGCCTGCCGGAATGGTCTTGTATCTCCTGTGCCTACGTCGTGGTGAACCAACTTTGGTCTACCGAGTGGTTCCCCTTCCCATGAGAAGACTGAGTGGCATTCTTGCACTAGTTTCCGAAAATGAGTTAAGATCTCCCCGGGAACTCTTTTAGAAATGGATGCTACCGGATTGCCCAATTTCGCAGCCTTTAGAGACTCTTCTTGCACGTTTATGTGTGAACTCATAACTTTTTGTTCCATCTCAAAGTTCACCCAGGAACCACCTATTTAGACTCGCTGTGCCCCTAGATTAATGACACTCTTTGTCCTTCGTAGAAAATCGGCCCCCAAAACGATGGCAACCAGGAGGTTCTCTACAACCGTGAATTGGTGATTAACTTCCTGTTTGCCTACTCACAACGTCAAGTCCACCCTCCAGTGTACGGTTAGCGGTGAACCATTTACCAAGGTAGTCTCCTTCGACTGGTTGGCCTTGGACATCCAAACAGTCTCCTTCTTAATTATCAAACTGCGGACCGACTCGGAATCTAACGAACAATTAACTGCTCTGCCCTCCAGCTTCACCTCCACAAAGGGTTATTCCGCATCCATACTCATGGCAGTGAAATTATTGGCATCAACATCTTTCGGTATGGAAATATTCAATTCTCCTCGATCCCCACAAAAACGCGAGGTATGTCCGGTTTGACTACAGATGTGGGTACCATTTTGGGTTTCCTTACACCATTTTCTCTCTGGGTGATGCTCTTCATTCCTGTCTAAATCCTGCAGCGAAAACGCCTTGAGGTCGCTTTTCCCGGTGACCGTTCCGGTCCAGGATCTCGGTCATTGACTCTGCGGCGGCAAGGTCTTTTGGTGACCATAACTGTAGTTCATCTTTGACTCTGGGTTCCCTGAGCCCAGCCAGAAGCCGATCCAGAATATGTGAATTACGTTCCTCGACTGTATACATGAGGTACGCCAATCGAGAAGGGTGCCGCGCGGACCCCATATAGTGAATAAGACTTTCCTGAGGTCGTTGCTGTCGCATGTAAAACTCCTCCCGATAATTGAATGCCGTTTTTGGTCCTGCCAGTCTCCGCCTCATGGTCTCCAAAAGGCTATCCATATCGTCCGGGAGGTCGAAGTCCATTACTGACTTGTAAGCCTCCAACGTTAGCAGATTAATCACCGCATCTGCCCGATGTGATGACGGAAGCCTGCGAAAATAGTGGCGTACCTGCGATTTCCAAACGCCAAAATCTTCTCTCAGTACGAATCTCGCCGGGGCAATGAGCGGTGGGATCTGTTCATACGGTGACGCGGTCTTCATCTTTGCCACCACTTCTGCGAACGGACCAAACAATCGGGGGAATTCTTTTACCGGACTGGAAAATTCAGACATCTTTATGTAAGAAGTTATTCGTTTTCGGTTCCGCCGTGAGTGCCAAGCTTGTAATACGTGACTAGCTGCAACGAGGAACGACACGGATGGAGTAATCAACGCTTCACGATAACACTGCGTTCAGCAGATGACAGATGAGTGAACAAGCGTCTATTTTACTGGAAACAACTTGGGCATTATAAAACTGTAGATGAGTATATATGGGAGAAAGTTCTGGAGAAAACTCAGCAACCCATCAGAGTTCTTCAGGTTTCCGATAAGTGGTTCGGTCGGTCCTGATTAATTTATTCCACTCCTCAACCTTGTGGTTATTTTCTTTGACTGCACGGCCTGTGCGAGGAGAAGGGGGAAATGACAGTGGTTAGTTAAACAATCAAGATGGCTGTCCCCAGTCATCCCCTACACAGCAAAGAGTTGAAATGACAGGTTACAGACAGCAATACAGAAGATGAATAGAAAACCTTTCGTTTTAACTACGGTGAAGCAGCTACCGTAACACTCCCCCCGAAACCCCACTACATCCCGTGTAGCCATTTGATGACTGCCTCAACACGAACGTGATGGTTATCGGTATATTTATCGGCAAAAATAGCTAACGCGAATTTTATGGCACGTACATAATAAAGCGGGATGTGCTCGCATAGGAATTTCCCCGAACGCTTCCCCAACGAGAGCCATACAGTCGATACAGATCCATGTATCAAACGAAAAAATTAATCTCCCACCACAGGTTAATATGGGAAACTAACTGTGCCTAATAGCTGAAGAGAATCAACAACTGATTATACTATTCTCGATAATGAATGTAGAATTGCCTTTGGGTACCAGTGAACAGTTCAGTTCAGTTCAGTTTGCACGGGACGATGTGTGGCCCGGGTCAATCTTGCGTCCAGATTGATGTGTTGTTGGCTGTTTTTATGGCTTCCAACACTGCGAGTCAATTGGTTTTTTCTGAAAGGTAGAATGTGAGATGCAGTATCACTAACTAGGCAATGGCGCTCAAAACTAATAGGTACTTACCATCAAACTTTTTCATGAAAGCTAGAAGCCAAACCGTCATCTAATGCCCTCTTAAAGGCTACGACGTTTGAGTAACTTACCACATTTTCGGGTAGACTATTCCACTAAGGTATTACGCGACTTGGCTTGAATATCCAGCCTTACAGGACTACGTGGCAGCCTTAAACTATGTCCCCTAGTACCAATTGAGTGGATGCACTGGATCGTGTCCTCAAACTTATGTCCGGAGAGACCGTTCATGATCTTAACGACTTCTATGAGGTCCCCCTTACTCTCCTTCGTGCCAGAGAGAATAGGTTAAGGTCCTTGAGTCTCTGCTTGTAGCTGTTACCTCTTTGTCCCACCATCGTCCTTTTAGCCAGGCGTTGCACCCTTTCTAGACATTCGATGTCTTTCCAAAAGTGGGGTGCCCATGCCTGAACACAATATTCCAGGTGAGGCCTGAATATAGCTTTGTACAGAGGGACGAGAACCTCGGGTCTCCTACACGTAAACGTGGAGTGTACACGGAAGAGTCCCCATTCGAACTATGCTGGCTGCCCTCTGACACCGTTTGAAGTCGTAGGGTATAAATACTCCCAGGTCTTTATCCTCTCTCTCTTAAGGTGGGTTTCATTCTGTATGTTAAGTTCAGCTTCTGCTGTTAGAAGCTGGCACTTAGCTAGGTTGAGCGGAAGATCCCACTATTCGGAACACCGTATAACAGCCTGCAGGTCCTAATATACGTTCGTTCCAGCCACTTTGAAGTCGTCCGGGAAAATAAAGCACGGGTTGGTAATTTCCCGCGGCAGATCGTTGATGAACATCAGAAATAGCAGTGGGCCTAACACAGAACCCCGAGGAACACCGCTAGTCATGTTGGCCGGCACCAATAATTGCATACCAACCTTGACCTGGAAGATGCCGTTAGTTATAAAGTAGTATATCCACTTTCTAACTTTTCCCCCAATTCCTAATAATTGCATTTTTTGGTCTAACCCCTGATGACTCACCGAGTCAAAGGCTTGCTAAAGTCCAGGTAACACACCTCGACATGCTGTCCCTCGTCTAAGCGTCGTGTGACCTCATCGAGGAAGGCAAGCAGATTTGATAGACAAGACTTCCTCTTAATAAAGCGATGTCGAGCTGGCGTTAGCAGCTCATGCCCTACTAGATACGCAGCCATATGCTTACGTACAATCCTTTCTAGACATTTGCATAGGACCGACGTCAGACATAATGGTCTGAAGTTTTCGGCATTTGCTTTGACCTAGATTTATGTAGAGCAACTACCGTCGCTCGTTCCCAATCTCCCGGTGTCTCGCCTTTATCTAGAGATGCCTGAAACAACTTTGACAGATGCTCCTGGAGCAACTCCGCTATAGGTTTAACCATAGCGGGATGGATGCCATCCAGTCCCGCTCCCTCGAACTTATTCAGGGTAGCTAACTCGTGAAGGACTTCGTCTGGTGCCACAGTTATTTCGGTCAGCTGTGATGTCACACTGGGATAATCTGCCATAAGAACGGTGTTGGCTGTCTGTACACTCCCTTAAAGAAAGCCAGAAGGGTATTTGCTTTGTCTCCCTCATTTAGGGCAAGACGTCCATCAGTGCTCTCTAACGTTCCAATCCCCTCTCTTTATGCCTTTTGAGATTGGACGTAAACATAGAACCTCTTTGGGTTCTGTTTTGCTTTTATCACAATCCCATGCTCATAGTCGTACCTGGCCTTTTGCTGCATAGCCTGCGCATGGTTTCTTGCTGCCTTGTAGCTAGACCATGCCTGATACCAATTGAGCCGTTTGTAGCGTGCCCACTTTCGACTCCGTATGGCCAGAGCCCTGTCTAAACATGGTTTCCACCATGGTGGCCGTTATTTGAGTCTCGTAGGCCTCAGGGGTGAGAACTCTTCGGTGAGCTTCAGCAAACTACCTTTGATTGCAACCCATCTCTATTCGATGGTAGGATCAGCTGTTGACCGTTCCCAGCTTAAACCTAACGCTACCTCTCGAAGACTCTGTTCATGAACATTCCAATACAAGCGAACCATTTTGATACCGGGTTTAATGTACTGCACCAGTACTTTTAACGGAAGAACCGCGTGGTCGCTTCTGCCTAGGGGGACCTCCGTCCTGAGACTAACGACATATGACCTTGATCAAGAAATAGTTAAGTCAAGGATTGAGGCCCTCTGGCTGAAACGGAACCGAGGGGGTTCCCTTACATGCTGCAGAAGCGCATGCAAATGGATCCACTCCAGTAGTGCCCACCCCGCAGTCCCCCCAGGAGCTCGTTATTCTTCCCAAGCTATTTCAGGAAGGTTTAAATCACCCACGATGAGAAATCTATGGGCCCTTCAAAGCACCTCTTGTAGGGTACGCATCAGTTCATTATCCTCAGTCACTGTTGAGTTGGGTGCCCTATAAACGCAGACAATGCCTACAGGTTCCGATCCAATCCTTAAGTGGCAAGCAGTAACCTGAATATTGGGAGTAACCAACTGCAGTGGCCACTGCCATTAGTAGTCCGCACAGCTAAGATGACTCCGCCCCCTTGCCTGCCGTCTACTCTATCCTGCCTATATTCGGTATACTCCTGCAAACCCAGGACCATATCTTCCCTCTTGAGCCAAGTCCCAGTGACAACAGTGACATCTGCTTCTGCTATCCTGGTCTTTAGCTCCCCGCATTTGCCCCGGAGGCTGCAGGCATTTTTATACCAGACAGTCACATCAGGGGACCTGAGGTATATTTCCGTTTCTTGTTGGGGTGTCTTCGGGCGTAAGACCCGAGGGACAGTCTCGTTTTTTTGCTTTAAGGGAGGGAGATTCCAAATTCACTTTCACATCCCATTTAATGCTATCATTCCCAATTCTGATGTCCTCAGCGCTGAGGTCCTGAAGTTCTAGGACGTTGGTGGTGGTGTGCTAGTTAGTCCAGTTTCTTGCAGTGGTGGGCTCTAAGGATCATCCGATGCTGCTACAGATGGAAGAGGCAGATGACTCTTCTTCAATTTTGCGATCAAAAACTTCCGTATTGTTTTTTCACGGGGATTGACGGGCTTAGGAACCGAAGTTTTTGAGTAGCTCGGGTTCTGGTGGTAGGTTTATTGCCCGGTGACGGACGGAGGTCCTCGGAGTAGTTGCCTCCTCCGTCACGACAAGACTGCACCTTGACGTGATGTGATGGCTTGTGCACCTCTATGACCCAACGAGCTACACAGGATGGCTTTTACCGAGCCAAAGATCTAATCATGCCTGGAAGGTCAATGGATAGAGGTCAGACGAAGTCCAGTCTCCTGGTCCCTCGGGTTGGGGGTTCAACTTGAGTCGGCGTCTCAGTCGATAAAACGTGTTGGAGGAATAATTGATCCAAGCTAATGGGCCTGCAATCCGCCTTAACCGCTGCCTTGCGGTTAGGTTTGTGTCAAAACTAAAGGCTTTGGTTGAGAACCCTAATGGTTCTCAAGCTTAGTGGCTGGATACTCTGGCAGTACCCGTCCATAAAGCTCCAATGAACACACAAACAAAAAATAATTTCATACTGCATCGGTCTCCGCGCAGGATAATCAGGACCGCGCTGCCCATTGCATCGAGCGGGGTGGGTAGTGATAAGTGGGCTACTGCCCAGACATCCCAAACTTTGTTTAACTCTTTGTCTTCCGTACCCAACCCTATCCTTTTACCCCTTCTTCCGACCCGTGATATTCCCTCAGACAACATTTTGGTCACTCGCCAAAGGTCTTTGCCAAATAGCACTGTAACTAGTTTTCCTGTAAAAAAGATGCAGATTCTGAAGCCTCATCAAACTCTCAATCTAGGGACTTTCAACGTGAGGACTCTTATGCAGGTGGGTCAACAGGCGTGTCTTTAACTTACAATGCAGTCTCTAGAAATCAATGTCTGCTGCGTATCGGAGATACGAATTCAGGATCCTAGTATTATAATCCACCTGAGTGCGCCGGGTCTATCCTCGAATTATTTACTTCGCACATCAGGAGA